TACCTTGCCGACGGATGGTTGCTGTTGGTATTTTGCTACGTTCCGAATACTTCCGAGTGCCGTCGCTTTCCATGTAGATTGAATACGAATGACTTTTGACATGATCAGTTACACTTTTCTTGTGGACTTGCAGGCGATATGCATGAATTTTGGATGCTTATATAGTCATAGTGTCGTTGTGAACAAACTTTTTTTTCGATTTTTAATTCAACTATAAAAGGCAATTCTTAGGAAAAATGAATTTCCGACAGATGCGCTGGACTTGTAACTGCATTCCAGTAAACTATGCACTGTAGCATAACGGCCGAACGCCTAAATTTTGCAGAAATTTTAAAAATACAAGCAATGAATATTCCTGGCAAGGAGATTGGAAGAGGACGGGGGCCTGAAATCTTCTCTGCGTTAAAATATGCAGTTTGTTTGGCGTTATTGGCCCACCGTGTCGGCATAAAGTGTTCACGCAATTCATGAATGCTTAATATATCGATTTTCACTCCTATGCCTTTTTGGTTTCAGGAATGGTTTCACGATGGTTTACGCTTTTTTTTTGATTTCAGGAATGGTTTCACGACAGTTTTTAAAGGCTCAATGAGCCTGTCGTATGGAAAAATGGGTGAATTTGTCAAAACGGGTGAATTTTTTATGGTTTATTCGGAGACGCCAAATATGAGCGAATATAATGCTGAATATGCTGCGAAATACCAATCCAATCGTAAGGGTTCGCCGGACGATGATAGCAACGGGCAAACAGGTCTTTTTGCGACTTTTTGCATTTTTTTATAAAGAAATTATTTCTTCGCTTTTTTGTGGTTGTACGACGAGAGGGATTTTTTATGGAAATCCATCTTTTAGCCTATTCTATTCATAGAATTGGAGTTTCTTGTCTTAACTTTTAATTTGCTTTACTAAATTTGTTGAGAATTCAGACATTCATTGGTTTCACAGGGAATCCTCAACAGTTTGTTGAACGAATGGGCTTGTTAGTAAAATTATTACGATATATTCCTCCATCTCGGGTTATATTCCTCCGGCTTGATTTCTTCGGTTCCCTGTGCTTTTTAGTCCTAGGGACCTTTTTTGCATACGTAAAAGTTAGCTTTTGGGCCGATTAGGCCCTGATATAGACGTATCCTGTGTGCGAGCATCCCAGTAACATCACTAAAGTGGAATAACCTGGCGGTCTGAGCACCGGGCATTCCTAGTATTCTTGGGAAAAGTGAAAATCGTATTTGTAAATCCCTTTGTTGACAGTGTTTTTTCGGTTCAGGTGCTAATAATGGTCAGAGAACTCATTCATCTACGGGTAACCATCGGCCGATGAAACGACCGCCGCCACCGCAAGGACAGTTTCGACGAGACAATATTCCCAGTAAAAGTGTAAGGAGCGCATAACATTTTGAAATTCTGTATCATGCAAATTTTAAATTTCATTTAAAATTTGGCCCCATGCGTTTGGTCATATTGACAGATTGTTTCTGAAAGCGAGGGGCTTTTGAATCTGATTTATGCAATTAAGTTTTATGCATCATTCTTGCAATATTAGATATTATGCCGGTCGACATTTCTAGCTTTGCTTTTTGCTACACTTTTTTTGTTCTTTTCTTTTTATACATTATGAACGACATTGTGAAAAGATTATGTCTTTTTGTTTCAAATGAACGTTGCGAAAATCAGGAAAATCGACGGTTGTGGAAAATGAAGTCATTTAATACGAATAATGTACAATTTACTTGCGGATCGCTCCCACTCGGATCTTCGATCAAAGCAGTCATTAGCGGGTTCAGGGGAAGAAGGAGAGGTGGAGGGGGGGGGGGGGGG